TTAGCCGTGGCAGGATGCAACTTCGGTTGTAGTTTTGCGGGGTTCAGAGATAGATTGATAATACTCCGATAGAGTAAAGTTACTACTGTAAATTAAGTTATAGGTAGGTAACTGTTGACTCCAAGTGATGCACTCTGCGTGAGTCGCTCTTTGCTTGAGACACGTTTGGCGCTTGTAGCTGATTCTGACATGTTTTAGTTATTCTCATAATAATAATATACTCAATTACTTTTTCTAAATTGATTTTAGATGTATTTTCTCGATCGACCACCTGACGAACTGCCATTACAATAACATTGTTTACCATTTGGGAGTGTAAATATGTGTTTTCATAGTAGTTGATGTTTACTTGTACCAAGTATAAACGAACGCCCCTATAATAGTAACATTGCTTTTGAAAATACATACTGGGTTCGGCTAATTTATAAGAGCTTTCAAACATGAAGATTTATTATTATTTTAATAATGGGTGTTGATTTGACATAAAAAGTCGCTCATTAGTAGATAGTAGGAGGTAAAGAGTAAAATGGTGCGCACCAGTACACAAACACGAATTTTCATCGTAAAACATTTTTGATCGGACCATCCATCCAGTATCCACCCAGTCAGCGCCGATAAGGAAGAGTCTGTCAAGGTGATCGACCACACGACAAATCAACTGTTGGATTAATTTGAAATTGGCGCTTTTTGGTTTTAATCATTTCAGAAAGTTGACAGTTAGGTTAGAAGTGTGCAAGACATAGAATGAGTTTGTAGTAATTCGGCTTTTCAATTATAACGTAAAATATTTTCAATTGTGGAACTTTTGTATAACTGTGAAGTTACTTAGTTAGTGAAGTAGAACTGTGTAAGTTACACTGCAGGAGAAAAAAGTCCCAATTCTATCAACAGTTTTACGTTTTTCAATAGTTATACATACGCAATAAATAAACTCAATTCCAGAAAATAACCGGGTTTACTTAAACCCCAATATATTGATCCAATCGAGCAAGATAATCAAAAATCCCAAGGAAAAGAAACAAAATAACAAAGAGTGAAGCGGCGTCCATCTTGCTCTCCAAAATAGAAAGCATCATCACGAATTTGCAAGACATAAAAGAGCCTTTGAGTGAGAGTGAAGTTTGTTCGAAGGTTATAAACAACTTGCCTCAAAAGTTGAATGCCTTCAGAACGGAATGGAATTCTGTAACTGCGAATCGTCAGACCTTCACGAATCTGACTCTCTTTTGAAAGAACGACTTGAAGCTCGACTTTTGAGATAAAAATTAAGAATGACAGCTATGGATGTTTTACACAACAAGACTACTCGATTGGGACTGCAGGTGAATACCCTACAGGCAAAACTCGATGAACAATCACTTATAGTAAATAATAAATAGTCAATGAATGAAATTAAGACACGCCAACTGTAATTATTGCAAGAAGAAAGGGCATTGGATGCGGGGGTGCTGAGCACGAATAGATGCAAAGAAAAATAAAACGGAAATGTAAGTACTGAAAGTGATACAAAAGAATGGATATTCAGGTGCGAACATGCACATGACGAATCAATTGAAATATTTTTCAAAACTTGAAAGATGACCTGCGCCAGTACTAGTGAAAATAGCCAACGGCAAGGTTAATGAAGCCGCAGCTAAAGGAACAATTAGTCTGCAAGCTCTAGTGAATACTAAGTGGCATGACAAGCTAATGATTAATGTGCTTTATGTTTCA